GCATTTTTCTCATGTAACTGTGCTAAATATCTAGTTATCCATCATTGTATAGTTGGACTCATTCAATAACTATTTTTCAACATTTTTGCTAAAAATCACTTTTAAATGATAATTATTCTTTTTAGTATACAATTACCACTTACAAGTGGGAAATTCAAATAATTCTAATGGACTGTGGTATATACCATCTAATTATTACTCTTATGAACAAATAAAAATCTGTCTAATCCTACCTTATTTCTTGTTTGTGATGAACCATACTCTGATTTCTCAAAGCCTAAAATTAGGTTGATGAAATTTTATATTACTTAAAAATATCATAACATATATCATTACCTTCTGTATTTGCTAAAATTTCTTGGCTCAATTTTTTACCCTATATTTATTTCTATTGGCCTTTTTAATTCAGGTAATTGTATATTTGAAAACATAAAATTAAATGGTTGGATGAAAAGTTGCATCTGCAAGAATTTATTTGTTGATTGTTTCTGGTTTACTGTAACTCATTATAAGAGAACCAGAAAGGCTCCGAACGATCGATTCGATTCTAATCAAACCAAATTCCTAAATTTACATTACACAGTGAATCTCAATTCAGTGTACCTCGATTTAATAGGTGCTAATTAATTTAGGTTTAATAATAATAAACCAAAACTATAATAATAATAATAATAATAATAATATAACAGATTTCTTGATACGGTCAGACCTTGTCACAGCGGATGAAGGGGACACATAATAATATTTAAAACCCGTTGTGTAATAGTAATTGTAATTGCTAATCTTGCCACAACGGATTTTATAATATGTGAAGCAAAATTTTTAAAATCCGTTATGACAAGAATTTAATTATAGTCCGCTGTGACAAGGTTTGACTGTATTAATAATAATAACGGATTTTTGGAAAAAAAAATTTCTAATTACCCAAACCATCTGCTAAACCAAGATTGTGTATATAAATTTAAAATTTAGTGATGATGGCCGAAACTATCTTTGTAAAAAAGGTAGTTTTGCCAATACATATAATAAGTATAACGTAATGACAAATAAAAAGTAATAAAAATAACTAATGAATGATATAGATTCGAAACAAATTATACATTCCAATCAGTTCAAATCAAATTATATATTCGATTCAAAAATTAGGTGATTCGATTCAATTCGAATTTCATTGATTCGTTTAGAGCCTTAAGGACCAGAAATTTTTGTTTATTGCTAAAAGTTATTACGTATAGCAGCTGAAGAATTACTAAAAACTTTAACTTTACATATATATCCAGGTTTGTATAATGAGCTCTCACAACCTTGAACAACAGTAATAAAAATTTGTGTCTCATCTCATTAGGAATAACTTATGCAAATGTGAATAGGTTACAAAATAATATCATTTGAACTGTTGGTTTGTCTTGTTTCCCACCAGTTTTGAGAAAAGTTGCCAAAATGCGAATTCTTTTTTAAAGAGCCAATTGAAACGAGAGAGACTGGATAATCTTTACCTTTACTCGTTATTTTAAATGCTATTTACTTGATATGAATCTTATCGGCAAATTCCACGAGCGTGAAATTATTATAAAAAACGGCTTTATAAAAATTTTCATCAGGAAAATAAATCTCATGTAAACCTACGTAGGGTTTAAAACTGACTAGCATTATGCGGAAATGTTAACAGAATTACCAAAATATCGACATAATGCTGGCCCTACGTAGGTTTATGTAAGATTTATTTTCCTGGTGTACCTTTTTTTCATGTTGATTGTCCGGTAATAGTAAGCATTTTTTCATCCAGATTGGTAATAGTAATAGTAATGGGTTAATCGGATAATATTAATATTAATATAAAAATATTCATTTATTTGATTTTTATTTAATTTGGAGGATGAATTGTTTCAAGTTGTGATTTATTCTTTTTAAGAACATAAAAAGTCAGGTTTCGTCCGTGATCTTTTGCATGTCAATAAATTACTAGCATCTGAAAAAGGCTTTTCACTTGGTATAGATGTTGCAGATTGTTAACGGATTAACCCTAAAATAATAGTAATAACAAACTAACTATAACTCGTTATTATTATGCAGTATTAGTATTAGCATTAATATTAACATTAAACCGGCGATCCCATTAATTACCGGATAATAATAAGGTCTTAATATTAACGGGTCGTAACACTAGTACAATGAACCTTGTTTCAATTATTATTTGAACCAATCGTTTTGTTTTTTCGAATTATTTGTTTTATTTTTTGTATACATAAACATTAGTATTAGGAATATTTAAATAAACCGATTTTAACAACAACAAAGCAACATTTAATTAGTCAATAACTTCATTCATAATCACTAAAAAAAGACACAGAAAACATGATTAAATGAAATAATCAAAAAAAAAAAAAAATAACGGAGCTTTTCAATGGCAAAAATGGAACTTTGAAAATGATTTTAAAAATATTCAAACTAAAGTGTTACATATTAATGTTAACATTAGGGAATCAACGCAAACTAAATGCGACAAAATTCTGATCGGTTAATGGGATTTTTACTGATCCCAAAGCCCCCACTCGATTTGATTATTTCATAATTTATGCGGCAAGATTCAAATACAAAAAAAATGTTATTTCGTGTGTTTAGAAAATAATTTCGGTGTCAATAATAATAATAATAATACAGTTGGGTGTTAAATCACAAACATTGGAGGAACCAAATCATTTTTATAATTTACTACTATTTATTAATTGCTTGTTATAACTTATCACGCTGATGATATTTTTAATTCTAAAAATGTTTGAGCTCACATAACCCATGTTATTACCCCTCTCTATCTATATCTGGTCATTTAAAACGTGGCATTATTAACGGAATTAATAGGAGTTTTCAAATGACCAAGTAGAACAACTACAGTCAAAATAAAAAATGTTTCCAGAGAGTTTTTTTTTAAAACATATTGACTCAATAGCAACAGTGTGTAAATTTCGTCGTGTAACTAATGTAGATTTATACAAATTTAGAAACTATCTGCAGAAAATTACTAATGTGTAACGTGATACCCGCCCGTTCCGCCCTCTCAATTTTACTCACTGAATAGCAAGACACTATTATGCGTTTGTCTAAAATTTTAAATAAAATTTGTTTTTATTCAAAATCGGGCTCTGTTACATTGTAAAGACATATTTTGCCGATTACATGAAATATATTTGTTCTATCAACATCAGGAAAATAAATCTTACATAAACCTACGTAGGGTTCAGAATTGGTCAGCATTATGTCGATATTTTGGTAATTCTGTTAACATTTCCGCATAATGCTGGTCAGTTTTAAACCCTGTGTAGGTTTATGTAAGATTTATTTTCCTGATGATATCAGAAGATGGGTGCTCAAATTTGGTATGTACGTATATTTGCGCATTTTCTTCCAGATTCACCAAAAGAACACGATACATATCCTCTTGTAAGAAGACAAGAAAAAAACAAAACTCAAAAAAGAAGCGCCATTGATTTGGGTCTTTGTTACATTTGATTAAACGGGACATGTTCCTTGGATTTTTTTACATACTAATACAGTGTGAACAAAAAAAACCCCGTAAATTTTAAACGTCATAAAAATACGTCTATATATTGATGTAAGTTTTGATGATTTTCCGCATTCGCTGCTATTTATATTTTTTGAAAAAACAACTCGTGAAATAACGACTTTTAAGCAAGAAGCTCAACAAAAAACTTTATTACATTTATGGAACGAGAGTGTACGTGATGCCAAAGAAATACATATGCGGATAAACATACCCCTTTCTACTATATATGATGATGACCTTAAAATTCTGGTACAATACAGCATGTGGGTGGTAATGGTCGGCCAAGAAAGATTACTGCGTATATCTCAAGGGCATCGTGGCAATATATGCCCCTATTTCAACAAGAATTTTGGCAACAAAGCTGGCAAATATAGGTGTAGAAATATCCTATCGAACAATTGGGAGTCATTTAACCGATGTTGGGTACTTAAAAAAAATCTTCCAATTCTCACTGCACATCACAAACGAAAACGGGTGGAATGGCTAGAGAGCATTTTAATGACAATTGGAGAAGGACATTATTTTCGGATGAGGCAACCTTCCACATCTTCCAAAGCACAGTAGAGCAGTGGTATAAATATGAACGGCCAATTCGTCCTATGCTTAAATATCAGGCAAAAATTTTTGCATGAGCATAAAGGGAATACAAGCTGATTTTGCTTTAAAGGAATAAAATTCCATGTAGATATTCTCCGAATATGCTAGGGAATAGATGGCAGTTTCAGCAGGATAACGACCCGAAGCATACAATCCTTCTTGCCAAAGTCTTTTTACAGGAGAACATGCCTGAAGTTATCATCAGGAAAATAAATCTTACATAAACCTACGTAGGGTTCAGGATTGGCCAGCATTATGTCGATATTTTGGTAATTCTGTTAACATTTCCGCATAATGCTGGTCAGTTTTAAACCCTACGTAGGTTTACATGAGATTTATTTTCCTGATGATGGCCTGGCCATCCAACAGCCCTGACTTGAATCCTATCGAAAATCTCTGGAGAATTGCTAGGGGAATGTAGAAAGGCGTATGCCAAAAATCAGGATGAATTGGGGCGATTTATGATGGAGGAATGGGAAATATTCCTGAATCCACTCTAATAAATTTAGTAGGATCAATGAAACGGTGTTGTGAGTTTGTGATTGAAAAAAATGGTGAATGAGTAGTGCCTTACTGAAAATATATTAATAAATCAGCTGGTTTCCAGTTTCCAATGATAAAAACTTCAAGTGATTTTGTTCACTAGTCATCGTGTAATGGGCAATTTTATAATTCCGGTTTTTTTTGTTCCAATGATTACAAAATATATTTTTTGTTATATATATATAATTTTTATTTATTTATTAATTTGTTATTACATAAAAAAATAAATTATTAATAATTTTACAAAATTATAATTTTATAAATTTATTTCCTTAAAATTTGAAAGGTGCTTCTTTTGTTAAGAGGTAGTTGTAGCGCTATTTGGTGTATTATCTCTTTCTTCTAACACTGCTTTTATTTCATTCAATCTAATTTGTAATTTTGGTGCTTCAACTAATTTTTGTTCTAATACTTGTTTTTCTTCTTGTAATGCCAATCTACGTTCTGCATCTAATTTTGTAAATACATATCCACCTTGTCCATCATACTAATAAATAAATAAATAAATAAATAAGTAAATGATTAATTAGTTAATAATGAAAAGAAATAAGTAATAGTAACTCACTTGTAAAATATGGTCATGGTAATGCCAAAGTGATGGTCGATGAGAAACAGTTAATAATGATATTCCTAATTCTAAAAATTAATAATTAAAAATTGAAATAATTGTTTTAGTAAATTATTATTTATTTGATTTTTTTAGGAAATTACCAACCTTTTGCATGTTCATACATAATTTTCTCAATGTCTAAACTAACAGCACTTGTACCTATATTATAGTTATTAACGATTATATTAAATTGATATTTTTAAAAAATAATTTTAAGTAAAAATCAATAATAATCAATGCTACATACATTCATCTAGAATGGCATATCTTGGTTTATGGTAAAATAATCTTGCCATGGCAATCTATTATATTATATAAATGCAAATATATTAATTTTATAAATATTGTTGTTTTGATATAATTAATTACGTACTCTTTGTTTATCACCACCAGCAAGTGCATCTTTCCATTCTCGTTCACTATCCCATCCTCCTTCTCTTTCAACAATGTTATTTAATTGAACAATATTAAGAATATCTTGTAGATCATCATCAGTGATACCACCTATTTATCATTCAAAAAAAATATATAAATTCCATTGTATATTAAAATAAAATAAATTAATTAATTAAAATATTATTTTAAACTTACGTCCTTTCATGATATCTACCGTGTGTGGATAAATAACTCTAATATTATTACGATAATAATAATAACAATAATAATGATATTTATATTATTCATTATATATTAAAAAATCTATATAGATAAATACAAAATAATAGACTTACTGATCACGTAATGTACCCATTGGCAAATAGGGTCTTTGTGGAATATAAAAAATATCTTTAGAATTTGGTTTATCAACATTTCCGCCTATTTTATTATTATGTATTTTTCCCATTAAAAAAAAAATTAATAACCTTTCCTTTTGTTTGAAATTTGTGAGTACATTTTTACTTACCATAAACTGGCCATAGACCACCTAATATTCTAAACATACTACTTTTCCCACAACCATTTGGTCCGACTATTAATAAATGCATTCCAGGTTTCATAGAAAAATTTAATGATTTAAGTAAAACATCACCATTTGGCGATACAATTGGTACATCTTTGAATTCAATATTTTCAGATTCGACTATTTCTCCACGACCACTTAAAATCCTTGCGTTTTCTTCGGTTGAAGCTGATGATACTAATTTCTTTTCAAACCTTCCATTTTTAACATCTTCAAATACATCTAAAAGTTCTGAAACCTGTATATACAAATATAAATGTATGATCGTTATATAAATAGAAGTATTGACATAATGATAATAAATGAATAGTTAAGGTTACTCTAGCGGTGTATCCTGCAAGCTCGGCGATTTCTTTATACGAGTACATAATACGTCCAAATGCATCAGAAGAACTCATCAACAATCTACGATTAGTGATAAATCCTAATCACAATCACCGCCACACCATCAAATATATATGTGTGTGTTTTTGTATGTATATTAAAGAAAGGATTTTTTTCCCAAAACAAAAATTACGCATTATTTATTTATTAATCTATTTAATTACCTTCTGCTCTGGAACCTAAATCACCCTTTTCCACTCCAGGTACTTTAAAGAAGACAGGAACAGAACAAAGAACCAATCCCATAGCCCCCCAGAAATATTTAATAATGAAATCTTCCATCATACCATGGAAAATTCGTTTACGAAATATTCTATTGATATGTTTAATAAGTGCAAAATAATTCCGATCTAAAATTGCCTTTTCTATCACATGACCAGAATAAAATGCAACCTCTTCATTGTTATCAATCAATCTAGAGTGTGTAAATCGAAATTCGCCCTATACAATATGCATACATTTTTTTAATAAATAATAAATCGATCAATAAAATTCTTTCCAATAATAATAAACGATGGTGACAGCAACATATTTATTTACCTCTAGTCTTTGTTCTTCAGCTACCATTTCTCCAAATGACGGCGTCAATAGTCTCAACACTACTGATGATGTATGTACTATAAGTGATAATGCAAATAAACTTTCTCCTCCTACATTTTTTGCCAACTCCAAGTAATAAATAACAACATCCAAGACTGGTTTGGCGAGATTGGAATAAAGTTCCGAAAGAGAATTACAAAATTTCATTGTGTCAACTGTAATACATCTTAGTTGTTATTGTTGTTGTTGTTTTATAAGACAAAATTGAATAATAGAAAATAAAAAATAAATATTAACATTGATGTTTATTAAAAGAAAGAAAGAGAAATTAATATTTATTTATTTTACTACTTACTGATCTGCATTTTTTATACGATCATCTAGATTTCCAATAGTATAAAAAGTCATATCAGTCAAGTATTTCTCATGAATGTGATGGGTGAGACGAGTCCTGAATTGTATAGCCAATTTGCTTTGCATAAACGTAAGCTAAATAACATAGTAAAAAATTATATAATTAATAAATATATTTCTAATTATTTCTAATATACAGATATATAATATTACCATGCTATTAGTATAAGTTGCAGGTATTGCGACTATCATCCACCATATAATTCCAGTCAAGAAATCTTTAGCATTTTTCCTTACCTAAATGAAATCACAAATTAATTGATAATTAAAACAATAGATAATAAAAATTTTTATTATTCTTAGTAAAGTAAAAATACCAATGCATTAACAACTCTACCATCTAAAATTGCAACGTAAACTGATAACATGGTTCTAAAGACTAATTAAATCATTCAATATTTAATAATGCATATAAGTTATGTAAATTTATTACCAAAAAAATTTTTATAAGTTACCCAAAAAGCCAGAATGAGTAGCTAAAAGCCAGAATTCTTTGGATCTTAACCCAGGAATTACAATTTTTAATAGTTTTTTTAAACTGGCAAAGAAAGCAGCATTAACCTAATGTACATAAAAGAAAAAATGTAAAATATAAATTCAAATTTATTAATTAGTGACAAGAAAAATTTAGACAAATTCAAAGGAAACTTACTGCAACTCTTTTTGGCCCTGGTTTTGTACCTGACGATGTTTTTGTTGTTGAATCATGATCGGTTTTCTTCTTTGATCCTCTTCTAATGTACAAAATATAAACTGCGAAAATCCATAAAAATCTTCCAAGAACAGTTCTATTATTAATATATATTTCTAATACTATTTTTACTATTCTTTGTATTTGTGATATGGAACTAGAATTGGATTTTAAAATAACTAAATCTTTTAATTTTGATAATACTGTTGGCATTTTAAAAAATGAATTTGACCGTAAAAAAATTTTTTTGATGTCCAGGTTATCAGGGACGTGTGCATTCTATTAACTGATAATGGCTAATGCGATTTAATGGTGTAACGGTTCGATTATTTTAGTATAGTGAAAAATCTAATCATTGTTTTGTTTATCTTTAATATTAAGTAAAGCTATAAACTGATGATTGGATTTTTCAATTCAGTTACATAGAACCTGAGATATATCATTTTAAAGTTCAAGCTAAATTACTATGTTTACTATGTTTGAAAGGCCAAATTGAAACATTGGGACTAAACTCGTATGCAAAAAGTTGCCTAATTTGGATCATTGAAAACTTGGATGTGTACTTGTGATCAGCACCATACATCACTGCTATCACTATTATAATTACGCGTGGTGTAAGCATTTATTTAAAAATAAATAATACAATAATGATGCAAAGTAGTGAAATGGATTTATTTTTATTGTATTTTTCAATTTCCATCAAATAAAAACAAAACTACTTGATAAATTAACAATATTAAATATTTTTTATTTGCGTTGTTTATGAAAGATTTACAACCAAAGCTGCTGATGGAGAGAGATCTAAAAAACATTATTCCAATTTATTTTAATTATTGATTAATTAATTAACAATTTAATTCGCTTATTAAGAATGGTAACTTACTCAATTCTTTTAAAGTTTTTTCTCTACTTTCACCATCCAATATTTTTCTATTGGAAATAAATAAATAATATAATGTATTAGAAGAAACAAATTATAAATAATTAATATATTAGTAACAATACCTTGGAAAAGTTGTCATTAATTTAAAAGGTTGGGTAATTTGTTGTCCAACAAGTTCATAGACATTTTCTAAAGTATCAGATGATTGAAATGTGTGTATGATAGGCGCACCAGTTGGTTGTTTTATCTTTTTTTTTTTTGTGAGGGAATTGAATATGAATTTTTTGTTAAATAAATATGTATAGATTTATATATTTATTGCCTACTTGTAATCTTGTTTCAGGATAATCATTTGCTACAGCATTAGCAAATGCAATTTTATTTGCTGTTTCAGTTGCTGTTTCTTCCTCTTTTTGTGCTTTTGCTAATCTTTGTTGCTCTTCACGCTAAATAATCAAATAATCAATACAAATTTGTATATGTTAAATGCAAATTATAATAATAATGATAATACAAAAATCTTTATAAATATAATCATATAATCACCTTTGCAGCTCTTGCTCTTTTATCAGCCTCAATGTCGGCTCTTATTTTTGCCTTGGCCAATTTTTCTTGCTCTTTCTCCTTTTTTCTTTCTTCGATAGCTTTCTTCAGTTCTCTTTCTTCAATTTTTTCTCTGACTTCTACCAATTCTTTGCCAGCTTTGCGTCGAATCTTCTCTCGATTTATCTCTTCTTCTTGTTCTGCTAGCTTACGAGCTTCACGTCTGTCTGCCATAGCTTTCTTCAATTCATTTAATTTTGCTTGTTTTTCTTCTTCTGTAAGTTTTTTGATTGCTGTTGTCGATTCAGAAAAGCCGACATGACCTATACAAGTATACCAATTTTTTGGAATAATTATTATGTATTTTCTTTTGTTCAATTTATAACAATTGATGTATTAATAATAATTACCTGATTTTAAAGCATGACGTTGTGCAGCGCCAGCTAAAATAATTAAAAAAATAAATATATAAATAATTTTTAAAGAAATAATAATTGTAATCAACTTAAAATAAATACATACAATCTCTAAATAATTTTTCGCAATCGTTGCATTGTAATGATTGGGCTGTTTGTTCACCGTCTTTAATTTCTCCATCTTTAATTTAATAATCAACCAGTGTAAATAATTTGCATAAAAAAAAATCAAATTAAAATCCTCCGAAAATAAGAAAATCCTAATCAATTAATGATTGATTGATTACCATCATCTTCATTATTTTTGACTGTAGAAGAAGAGGAGGAGGAGGAAGATTCACCAATTTGTTGTCCAATATCGCCGTCAGGATGTGATAATAACCTTTTGAGAGAGTGTATGTGAGATATTTGTAAAATTCAATCAATAAGTATATTTATTTAATTACATTAATATCTATGTTACGTACCAATCCATAGCAGGTTGTAAACCTGCACCTTTTGTAGCCTTCATTGCTTTATCCCTAATAGCAACAAACAATAATAATATAACCAGAAAGTTTAGTTATATGTGAACAATAATTATTAATCAATAATTTATTTATTACTAACACCATATCCGACGAAAAGCCCATATCAATTAAAGTATCTTTGTCAGATTTTGAACTCATAATTGGTTGTTATTATTATTGAAGAAAGGAGATATTGAATTTTTTCTAAAAAAATTATTACAATGTTAGAATTAAATGGGTTTGATTTCAGTATAAACCCTTCCTAAGCAAGCATCATAGTGGGAAATTTGAAATGTTACACTAATTTTTTATATTGTGCAACGTAACTTTACAATACACGGCGAACATTCTGGCAATAAAAAGTAAGTGATAAACTGAATTTGAATTGGATCTGAACTTGATCTCCAATTTAGAGATTCTTTTCAAAACAAAATGGTCAGGCTTTGTATTATTTGCAATAAGGAAAAGGCAATTGTTAAAAGACCAAAAACAGGGCAACAAGCGTGCAAAGAGTGTTTTTATTATGTATTTGAAACAGAAGTCCATAATACAATTACAGACAATAAATTATTTAAGAAGGGTGATAAAGTTGCAATTGCAGCCTCAGGAGGAAAAGGTAATAATAATAAATCATATAGTTTGTTTGGTAGTTTTATTTATTAAAAACTTCAATTTTTTATAAACGTAATCTAAAAATATATATATATATATATTATCGTATAATTAGATTCTACAGTGTTAGCTTATGTTTTAAAACTTTTGAATGAAAGATATAATTATGATTTAGATTTATTTCTTTTATCAGTTGATGAGGGAATAACAGGTTATCGAGACGATTCTTTAGAAGTAATACTATACTATTACTATTACTACTAGATATTGGGTTATTGAGTCAAACATTTGGTTATTGATGAGTTAATTTAATTGCTTTAGACGGTAAAAAGAAATCAAGAGCAATATGAACTTCCACTAAAAATAGTTTCATATAGTGAGTTATATGGATGGAGTATGGATCAAATAGTTAAAGAGGTTGGATTAAAGAATAATTGTATGAAATTCAATAAATTAACAATCTTGAAGATTTTTTTTTCTGGATCTGATGTCAACCAACAAACTAATCAAATCAAATAATTTGCATCTGTATTCATAAATATATCAGGTACATTTTGTGGTGTATTTAGACGTCAAGCTTTAGATCGTGGAGCTGCACTATTGAAAGTTGATCATGTAGTAACAGGACATAATGCAGACGATATTGCAGAAACAGTTTTGATGAACAGTAAGTAATCCAAAGTTCCTTTTTAAAAATATAAAAATATGCAATTATTATTAATTGCTAATTGTTGTTTGTTGTTTGCCGTTTGTTAGTATTGAGAGGTGATATTGCCAGGCTTCAAAGATGCACAGAAATATGTACGACTGGCGAAGATTGTATAAGAAGATCCAAGCCATTTAAATATACATATGAAAAAGAGATAGTCATGTAATTAATTGCATTTAATTTTTTTTAAAAAAAAAAAAGAATAAAGAGTACTAACATATATGTATATATTTTTAAAGGTATGCATATTTCAAGAAACTTGACTATTTTTCTACTGAATGTATTTACTCACCAAATTCATATAGAGGACATGTTAGAACATTTCTAAAAGATTTAGAAGCAATTCGTCCAAGCACTATAATAGGTGTTGTGATCATTTATTAGTTAGTTATTTTTAAAAAATTTTTTTATAAACCTTTTTTTATATAATTGTTAATATTAATATTATTAATAGATATAATTTATTCTGGCGAAGCATTCCAAGTTAAGAATGAGGTGAAATTGCCTGTTCAAGGCATGTGTAAACGTTGTGGATATATATCTAGTAATGAATTGTGTAAAGCATGCGTCTTATTAGAAGGTTTAAATAGAGGCTTACCGAGGTATTGACATTACAATTTATAAATGTTGTGTGAATGCAATGTTTCCAAAAATATACTAATAAGAAACCAATGAATGAATTAAAGATTTGGTATTGGGAAAACTCACAAAATGGTAAGATTTTCAATTAAATATATATCTGCATGTTAAATAATAAACTAAATTTTTTTCCTAATTGAATATTGATAGCGTAAACTTTATGGAGATATGCCTGAAAATTTGCCATCGATACCATTTTTTAACAAGAAAATAAATGACGATCAGAATTTAAATCTCGTGTAACATATAGAATTGTTCTTTTCAAAAATAATAATAATAATAATAAAAAAGTGTTGTAAAATAAAATTTTAAATGATAAATACATTAAAAGTCATATATAAATATATAGAATATATTAAGTTTAGTAATGTCATTTCCTCAATTATTTAAAAAATCCAAATTGGCAACATATGATCCAGCATTACCACAAGTTTATAAAACTTATGGACATTATAAAGGTAAAGGAGAATGGGGAGTAAAACGTAATTTACCAAAAACAACACATTCAGATGTAATAACTATTAGAGCGTTCGATACAACAGAGCATCAAACAATATTCAATAGTGTTCAAGGTTTAGTGAAGTTCCCAAGAAAATGGAAAGAAAATTTTCCACATTCAAAAATATTTAAACCAATGATAGGACAAAATTTTTTGGACATTGATAAAATATCGGAGAAAAAATTCAAAAAATATTTAAAGGAGGCGGAAAGTAGGAGGGAGGATTGGTATATAAAAATCACAAAAGATCAAAAGAAACCATCTATTGTAGATTATTTAGAATTTTTAAATTTAAACTATCAAAGTCAAACAAAACGACCAGTTAAAGGATTGACATATTCACACAACAATACAGGATCAAGTATAATAGTGCAAGGTCGTATTTTGAATAGAGGTAATTCTACAGATTACTCTGTTGGAGTTGGTGGGTTAGTAACACGGCTACCTGTAAATACAGTCATTAGTTTAACACAAATAGATCGTAGTAAATTAGAAACATTTTATGTTGAGAAGGCAGAATTTGATGCTAAAGGAACACCAAGAGTATCTTTAACAAAATTACCTAATATTTTAAATAAATTAAAGTCTTCAACCAATAATAATAATAATCAATCAACAACATTGTTTGGTTCTAGAACATTTGATAATATTTCAGACGAAGATAAACTATCACAAGAAGCAATTTTAAATAAAATTCAAGATATATTTGATAGTAGTAATTAGGACGAGAAAATTGGACCTGGCCCTGGTCCATTCACTGGTCTTTAGAAGGCCAGTTTGTTCTGACAAGAATGTTTATCACGTGAGTAATAAAATTTTTTTGTCTCTTTATTAGTTTAAAAAAAAAATAATAATACAAAAAATAAAAAATAATTATTATAGTATTTAAAAATTTTTTTCAATTAAAAAAACTATTTCTTTTATTCAAAGGAAAAAAAAATGATATATATAAATTCTCGACATTACTAAAGAAATGGGCGCGGAAAATGATTTTGAGTTAATAATACCCCTATTACTAATTATGCCAAAATTATATAAAAAAAATTATATATAACTGTCATCAAACAATACAAACCCTGAACTAATTAATAGTTCACCAAAATGTTCTACATCTCTACTTAAATCAATGCCTGATTTTGCTAATAGATCAATCATCTCTAAGGGTATTTTGGATGGATATCAACAATACATGTACAAACATCTTGTGGCAGTTTTCCATTTTCATCCGGAAATATGAGCCCCAATTGAATTATTTTTAATAAACCAACATTACATCTAAAGGTTTTGCAATGACGATCTGAGCTAGTACGAAAGTTGCCAATTGGTCGCTATACTAATAAATTGATATCCTAAAACCATTTACAGTCAAAGCTCGTTACGGTGGAAATGGCTTACAACGAACTTTTTTCAATGTCCTATAATAAATTTTGGTCATTACAATGAACTTCTGATAAAATCTCTTTATTGTGTACGGTAAATATTAAGAACTTTTTACGCAGGACATATGGGGCAGACTGCAACAAAATCAGACAAAGTGAACATAATGCTACAAAGAAATTTCAGGGATCAAAATTTAAATTAGCCATCACAATTATGATAACAATGATTTTTTATCTTCTATATAGTATTAAACAATTATCTACTTGGATAAACTATTTGAAGCTAAAACTTCACAAGTATTACACATCCAAGACAATGCTTTTGTTTAAAAAAAATTTATTATATCTTTGTTTTAAGATTTATTTGTATGTAATTGAAAAATCAAATCATTTGGTAAAGAGAGTATAAAAAAAATACCAAAACGAATAGTCCATTGTATGCGTTTGAATTTAAAATAAATTCTCATTGAGCATTTACCATGAAAAGAATAAAAGAATCTGTGCATGAAGCCATATAATTAAATCCACGTCCAACCCGGGAGTACAAGATAAACATATCCGCCAATTTGGTTTTTTGGACCTTTTTTAAACCCTATTATCATTATTATTATTATCATTATTATGTGGCTTAACTGGTCAATTGAATGATAATTAACCCTAAAAAAAATTATTTCTCCGCTAAATAAACTATTTTACTATTTAACAGCCTGTCAAACCAATGGGCCCACCTCCAAACCAATGGGTTTCTGGCTACATAGTATAAAGTATGTGTAATGTGTTACTAGTATTATAATACATAGGCAACTCCGTTATCCGAACCCCGTTAATCCGAAAACCCCGTTAAAATGAATAATTTTTAAAACACCAAAGCCAAACATATCAGTCGGACGACATTTCACAGTGACTGATTTTTAATATATGATCGACATGGCACGTTTTCTGTACAACGGACTT